ATATTAATTGAATATAATATAATAAATAATAGTTTTACAATATTAATATTTTTATAACTGAAGAAAAATAATATTAAACAAAACTCATTTATTTTACAATTTATCATCTCAATAACTAAGTAAATAAGGTGTTATTAATAACTATTAATAGCATTAATTTTCTAAAGTTTAATTATAAAGATTAGTAACTTGTAATAATAATTGGCTCAATTGATTTTAAAAATACTTTTATTAGTTTTTGAAATCATACTTAATTTCCTTCAATTAAAAAGGATTCAATACTATAATCTTGAAATTACGTTTACTTTCTCTTTGAGTTAAAGTTTTTTTATTGAAGCATTTACAAATTGATTGCACTAAAAATTAAGAATAAAAATTTTGAATTTCAAAAGACTTAAGACAGTTTGTGAAGCTAGTTATATATTTAAGAATTATAATAAAATCTGGCTAATGGGAAAAAATTACTTTTTTTTTAGAAATTTTAAATTGAATGCTCTCTTTCTTGAGAAATATATTGGCTTTTTAATTGATTTACGATTAACCAACATAGGCAATCAGTATGTTATTTATTGAATTCTGAGTTCTTGCATTCTATACCGTTTGTTTAATCAATACCATCCTACAAAGAAACAATTGCACCTTCTCCACAATGAATTGTATCAGTGAGCCCACTAAGGGTAGTAAGTTCATTAAAAATTTAATAATTAATTTAAACAATAAAGGCTCATATCATAAGTGATCCAGATAAATTCAAAGAAAATGCATAACATTCATCTGTTTATTTAATTATATTATCCTATATAATTTCATATGGGTGATATGTCTATGAATCAACTTTAGCCATGTAAAAATAATATCTAACATTGGCAAATCACAATTATTAATGAGAAAGTAATGATACCTTATGTCAATCTAAGAATGAGTCAATACTTTAAGATCTATGCAGAAATTTAATGTTGTGTTATATTAGGTGATAGTTAGGTACACAAAGACAGTTGGCTATTTCTACAATTGCTAACAACAAACATATCATATTTCTCCTCCTTACTGTCAGATAATAATGGATTGTATCGATTATGTTAAACATATTAAGCAATTAAAATAAAAATTCCTTCATTTTAATTATTTTCAAAAGTGATATTATTTTGCACAAAAGCTTTGATTTGAACCTATACAACAATAATTATTAAATTGAAAGTATTGCAGAACCTCCTATTTTCATAAAGTAAGCAATATTAATAATCTAAGTATTAAGTTATCTCCCTTTTGGAAGAAACATTTCAAAAGATACTAAAGAAACAATTGAAATTCAAGTATGAAAAGAACAATCATTTTTTTTTGACTAAATTTGATTGGATTTAATTAAACAGAAGTTGTCCAAAAAAATTGTATTATAACTTTTAATAAATCATTAGAATGTTTATCAGCTGTGATGACTAATATCTAAAACTTAGATTTTTTTAATATTTAATATACCTCCACCTTCTAATCTTTGGAATAAAATATCTGATTTTGTAAATTATTTGATGAAGTTTTAAATGAATACTATTTAAGAATCATCAATTATTTTATTAGACATATTCTTGTAATTAAAAAAAATATAGTAAGTTTGAAATTTAGACAAATGACATACTTTCAAAAGATATTATATTTTATAATTAAAAAAAAATGGAAAGTTGTATAATAGATATAGTATCCAAGCACTTATTTAGTGAATAAATATTATTCAAAAATTTAAATTAAACTCTTTGGAAGATATTTGCGTTTGTAAGATGTATATTAATAATTTTAAAATGTTAAGCTTACTAATGCCCTAATCAAAATTAATCAAATTATTCCTATTTGAAGATTACTGTGACATATCTAAATTTAAATTATAGAATGGTTATCTCGGAATACTAGAATATAAGCTACTCAATTAATATTAATAATTTAAATACGCTATACTATTTCATTTCAAATTCTTCAAAAATTAAAATGAGAATACACTGTAAGCTAATTAAAATATTTATCATCCTAGTAAAACTTCTTTTAACAATTCAAATCTATTTTTCATGCGCCTAGAAAAATTAATAGAATTATCAAATTCAAATCTCTATTTTTTGGTGCCATAAGGGTCAAGCAAATTTTAAAAAATATAAAATTTTCTTTTCAAATTAAAATCAAAAAATTAAACAATTTATTTAGAAGAAGCACTCACAGATGTATTAGATTTATGAAAATAGCCAAACATCTAAGAAAATAATAGAAATACACCTAAGATAGTCAATTATAATTTACGAAATATAATGAGGAATAAAAATGAAGCTTTTCAAATCACAAAAAGTATATAATAAATTTTTTATTTGAAGTTATGGATATTAAACTTTAAAAATAGATCAATCATCTCAACTATTAGATTTAGCAATATATGTATGATAAGCCAAGTAATATTGAAATTTTATTTTTTTAAAATCAAATCATTATAGATGAATCAGGTTCTTAAACCCTTTTGAAATTGTCCTAAAATTTAAAAAAGAGGAAAATTATACTTAAGTTTAGAAGTTTTAGGTAAACTCTTTGAAGTTAACCAGAAAAGATGAATCTGGTGAACTAAAAAGGTTGTTTTCTTATAAATATTAGGTATTTGTTCATTATAATTATGATTTCAAAATCAACCCACATACATATTCCAAATTCAATTACACTTTAAATTGAATGTTTTATATCTTAATTAAATTTGCTAATCCATTTATTCAAAAAATATTGATTTTTTCTCATCCATATAAATACAAAATATATAAAATGTGTATTTCACCAAATTTATTATTGTATTAATTGATTAATAAGTATTTTAAATAATGATTGTTCCAATAATCTTAACCCTTATTGTTTTAATTGATGTTACGAATTCAAAATGACAATGTTAAACTTATACTTAAATGATGATGGGGGTTTCGTACACTTTAAATACACTTCAAATTTACAATTACATAACTGGCACTAAATCTCCAACAAATTTTACTACTCTAAATAGTACAAATCCATCAGCCCAATGTATCAATACCAAACATTTAATAACATGTATTCTTTTCTGCAGATTTATATTTTCAAGGTATAATAACATACATAGTCTGTTATTAATACATGGTCATCTGAAACTGTTACAATTAAGATAGAATCATTTTCATACTCATATCAATACACTTCTCCTTGAAAATTATGTAATAACTATTGATATTCATTATCAAGTTAATTTTATTTATGGAAATGCCAAATTTAAATTATGCTAGGTTGTAGTTTACATCATCAAATAGAAATGATGGATAAGTTTCAATAAGAAATGTGTTTGTATCAACTTTCAAATGTTACCCATCTTGTAAATAATGCACAGGACCAAAATCTAATTAATTTACAACTTGTTATTATAGATTACCTACAAAAATATTTGTCCATCCTGTCCAACTAATTATGAAAAATACTTTGGATGCAGAGATATTTGTAATATAAACTCCATTATATACTAATGGATTTAGTTAATCATATTTAAATTCTTTCTTTGCAAATGCTATAGTTCAATATTAGTAACCTTAATGGCTTTTTAAATATGACCTGGAACCTGTAGACAAATATCCAACAAAAATAACTTCTGATTGTTACGGGATTTTTAATTTTAATTCTGGTATATATAGATTTACAACTATTTATCTACTTATTCTTATTCAATTTATTCATTTGAGTTTTAGATTATAATGTAAACTTTTAATATTATTCCCCTTAATTTTGGAGTGTAGTTTTTGATTAATAGTACTTATTTTGCTTCAATTTTTAGAAATGAATCAGGAATTCGAACACCTAATAGGAGAAATTTTTGAAGGCAATAATTTCTGAATTTTGGATTAAAAATCATAATTTTACCTCCAAAAATAAATAAAAGCATTGTGAATTAATTATGGCATATATTAAGGAAACTATTTAGTAACTAGTAATATAAAATATAACCATAACAAAAGACACCTTAAATCAATAGCTGATATCAATATTAAAAATAAGATTATGAATAAAAAATGAGAAGCCTAACAAAGCCTAAGCTTCTTAAAAATATAGAAAATGGCTCATATTATTAAATAAATAAAATATTTA